TGTTTTTTTATTTTAAAATTAAAATATATTTAGAGGTCGCTCAAAGCGCTCAAAGTTCCCCATGTATTTTGTATGGGGAAAAAAGACTTTTCATAGAAATGGCATAGAATCCTTGGAAATCAAAATTTTTCAATCTGAAAACTCTGCTTCTCTTCAGAAGACTTCAGAGAATAGTGCCCAATTGTTTATTTAAACGTTTTTAATTTAAACTATTTTTTCTTTTTTTCTTTTTTATATTTCTGTTTGTATATTTGATTTTTTTTGGGATATTTCGGAGACCCTTAAAAAATAGTTAAAATTAAAAAATGTTTAAATAAACAATTGGGCATTATTCTCTGAGGTCTTCTGAAGAGAAGTAGAGTTTTCAGATTGAAAAAATTTGATTTCCATGGATTCTATGCCATTTCTACGAAAAGTCTTTTTTCCCCATACAAAATACATTGGAAACTTTGAGCGCTTTGAGCGACCTCTAAATATATTTTGATTTTAAAATAAAAAAACATTGGTATATTTTTTTTCAGTATAGAACAATCCTAGGGGGTGAGAGCATTAAATTTCCGACTTTACTTTTTTGGACCACCCTAATGCACATCCATTTATTATATTCAAGGCAAATTCAGTTCTTGTAAAATAAAAAAGTTAAAATGTAAGAAATATTGGTTCGTAAACTAATTAAATAAATAATTAATAAATAAAATAAAAAAACTTTTTAATATACAACGCTTTTATAAATCGACTAAAAAGTAGAAAATAATATTTCTCAGTCCCACAGAATTTGTTTTGATAACTTTTGATTTTGAAATTTTAGCAAAAGTCATTATAAACAATTAATGACATTGAAAAAGAAAAACGTGAAGCGCATGCAGTACAAAGCATTCGATTTCATTGGCAATAATCAAACTACATAACATTCTACAGCGAAAGTACAAATTTGAGATCGATTTTAAGCGGTCGTTATTCATATGCCCACATACATACATATGTTACTTTTCATATCAATTCAAGTGTATTACTTGCGCCCCACGCTTTTCATTTTCAATGTCATTAATTGTTTATAATGACTTGCTGAAATTTCAAAATCAAAAGTTATGAAAACAAATTGTGTGGGACTGAGAAATATTATTTTCTACTTTTTAGTCGATTTATAAAAGCGTTGTATATTAAAAAGTTTTTTTTTATTTTATCTATTTTCTACTTTTTAGTCTTGTCTGTACAAAATTTAACAATAGATATTAAAATAATTAAACTTGCAGTGAAAGAGAACAGAAGACTATGCAAGCACAATGTGGTTTGCTCACATTTAGTATAAACATACATATGTACATTCACTACATATAGCAGCAGTTTATTTCATTTAAAGAAATGGCGTGTCGTCCATTTCCGCTGTGACGTATATAAATAGTGCATATATTTAGGCGCAATATTTAACTTCTTCTGGCGGGGCGACATCTACCTCTAGCGTTTTTCAAATTGTATGTCTTTGATATGATACCTACGACGAGGTTGATATCTAGACTAGGTTTGCCATAAATACCTTTGCTATATTTATAGTATGGTGGTCTGGACATACAACATTGCAAGTTGATAAAAGCGTTGTAAAATAGAACTTCGCAAGGCGTTCAAGGTAGGATAAATTGGAGACTATCGACCCGTTGAAATAAAGTAGGACGGGCCATCGATATATACTAGAGTCCAGCGCAATTGTATTTGCCGCATTTCATTCAATAAGT